AATACGACTTGAAATAATGCAGACTTGCATCATTTTTAGCCATTTGGCAAAGCGGTTTGAAAAATGTGAGCAGTTGAAGATTTCGTACTGTTGGCAATAATAGGATCTTCGGTTTCCAGGAACACTGTCAGGCTTTCGATCTTGTTCTGCTTAAATTACACCAGGTACTATAATAGCTATATTTCTAAGAGTGCTTCCCAAAGTGGGGTCTGAGATGGTCGTGTGGCGTGTGTGAGAGAGAGAAAATGAGAGATGGCGAGAGACAGAGAGAGGGGTGACTGCGGCTCTTCAGGGGGACCACAGAGGCGGCGGCTTCACTGTCAGAGCAGCGTCAGATGGGCTGGGCTGAAAAGCCAGAGAAGCTCTTAGGGACACAGCCATGAGGAGAGGTTGACGAGCATCGTCGAAGAAGAAAGGGAAGGGAACATTCTTACTAAAGACAGTAGGGGTCCCAGACAATCTGCTTGGTGGTCAAGCATTCCTCCAGAAAGAAGTTGGAGTCACTTCCCAGAAGACAGGCCATTGGCTCAGTGGGGAAGGTGAGCCAGCAGGTGCTCTCAAAGACTATGGCCTGGGCCGTGACGCCTCCATCCCAGACCCCCACCCCAGCCAGTTTCAAGAGCATATCTAAGGAGTTCAGAGCAACAGGTATAAACACCGCATGGCTTTCCTCTAATCCAGCAGGACCAGAAGAACGCCCTGGGAAACCTAGATAAGCTGATTAAGTGCGTTCCTGATCGGAATGAACACACAAACGCCAAAGTGAAAAGATCCAGGGATGTATTTCAGAACTGAGAGGGAAGGATCAACGTGAAGTCGATGCTCACCGCCAACATACTAGGAAAAGACGAAGATGACAGTGCTTACCTCTCCCAAGGAAAATCCCTCTGTACAAAATGATGTCATCTGGTAATATTACAATTTGTAATAAGAGCTTCCCACGGGGTGCAGTGGTAAAGAATCTACCTGTCAATGCAGGAGATGCAAGAGATACGGGTTTGATCCCTGGGTCGGGAAGATACCTTGGAGGAGAAAATGGAAACTTCAAATGTCTTGCTTTTTGGAGTTTTCTGGAATTAAATATATGTGTGTGTATACATACATGCATACACACACACATACACACATATATATGTATATACGTGTATGTGCTGTGCTGTGCTTACGCTCTCGGTCCTGTCTGATGCTGTGATCTTATGGACTGTAGCCCCCCCAGGCTCCTCTGTCCATGAGGATTCTCCAGGCAATAATACTGGAGTGGGTTGCCATGACCTCCTCCAGGGGATCTTCCCGATCCAGGGATTGAACCCAGGTCTCCCACATTGCAGGCAGATTCTTTACCATCTGAACCACCAAGGAAGCCCAAGAATACTGGAGTGGGTAGTCTATCCCTTCTCCAGGGGATCTTTCCAACCGAGGAATCGAACTGGTATCTCCTGCCTTGCAGGCGGATTCTTTACCAGCTGAGCGACCACGGAGACCCACATTCATGTACACGTGTGTTTGCTCTGCAGTTGGTTTAATCTGCATATTAGGAACCTGAGGAGTCAGAGGCCAACTGGAATTACAGCCAGGGAAACCATTCAGTGTGTGAGTAGGTTATTTCTAACCCATACCCTCCCCTGGTATCAACTGCCCCAAACTCTACTTTCCATTCATCTAAGCACTCCGAGTCTATAAGAACTCAAACACTTATCCTTCTGTCCCCTAATGGTTCTCATGACGGTTGCAGTGGCCCAGAGCTATCTACTTAAAAGAATAACAATTTTTTGGATCCAGGGCTGGTGTTGTTTTGGAAGAGGTCAGTGGGGATACATTCTACATTTCTCACAATTGCTTTAAAATGAAGTTTTCAAAAGTGGAGAATTGTTTGTGTTTAAGAGACAGCCTTGGGGCAGTAGGAGGAGCCTGGTTTTGCTGAGACCGGTGAGAAGGCGCCGTGGTGGGGGTTCACGCGGCCAGGGAGGAGCACCTTGCCCGTCCTCCCTGTCTGGTGAGCTCAGGGCCTCAAGGCTTGGAACCCAGGAGTGGGACTTGCTCAAGCTCCTAGGGAAAGGTGAGGGGAAGTCCCACGAGGCTGGGCTGTGAGGAGATGCAAACTGAGTTCTCTTACAGTGAGCTGACTTAGCCCTAGGTTGTAAGCAGCCCACACTCTGATTTTAATAAGCTTGAGGGTTGGTACTTCTTAGTAATGAGTAGACTTTACAGGAAATGAAACCAACCCATCAGTTTTAGTTCATTTGTTGTATAGCAGAAAGCACCCCGATGAGTGATGGGAACAGTGGTAGGTAACGTCTTGGAACCAACTAACAAGTTTTAAAAAAACATTTGGGAATCAGACTAGTTCTCTAGCCTTCATTTCAGGTGACAGCATTTTGGTCCCGCTCTTCACAGAACCATGTGCAGGCGATTCTCTGATCGAGAAGGAGGGTGACCGGCTTCTCAAGCAACACCATCTCCAGGCAGGGCTGATATAGTCTTCCTTTAGGAGATGGGCCTTTTCATCCTTACAGCTATTGAGAACATTATAATGAACACATCTGCAAAGATTTTTGGAGCTGCGTCATAAGAGAATGTTTTAGGGACTCAGCAGCCACTTTTCAGTAAAAATAAACATTCACGTTTCCAAGAAATGCTCCCACGTCGACCTTATTTAACCACACGCAGTGGAGACAATAACTGAAGTGATCCTCACATTTCCGGGCAGCAGGTAAATGCAAAAAGAACTGACGTGTGGCACTGAAGGAGAGCCAGAAGCGCAGAAGCATCAAGAGCTGAGAAACGGCAGTGACGGGGCTGGTCGCCACACTGTCCGCAAGGGCGCAGAGTGGAGCCGCTTCAGAGGGTTTATCTTCCATCACCGCAAGGCCCACGCTGAGGAATCGGGCTTCAGTAGGATCAGTGCCCTTTAGGCGTCCGTGGAGCCTCAGTGAGTGATACTCCTAGCTGCGGTGGGGTGGCTGGGGCTTCCCCAGTGGCTGAAAGATAAAGCAATGTAGGAGTGCAGGAGACACAGGTTCGATCCCTGGGTTGGGAAGATCCCCTGGAGAAGGGAATGGCAAACCACCCCAACATTCTTGCCTGGAGAATCCCATGGACAGAGGAGCCTGGGGGGCTAGTCCATGGGGTTGCAAAGAGTCACACATGTCTGAGCATACACACAGGGCCAGGGCAGGAGGGTGGCTGACGGGGAAATCATGAATATGAAACCATGGTATTTGGTAAAACTGATGACGCTGTGAAAGTGCTACATCCAAAATGCCAGCAAATTTGGAAAATTTAGCAGTGGCCACAGGACTGGAAAAGGTCAGTTTTCATTCCAATCCCTAAGAAAGGCAATGAATGCCAATGAATGTTCAAACTACCACACAATTGCACTCATCTCACACACTAGCAAAGTAATGCTCAAAATTCTCCAAGCCAGGCTTCAACAGTATGTGAACTGTGAACTTCCAGATGTTTAAGCTGGATTTAGAAAAGGCAGAGGAACCAGAAGTCAAATTGCCAACATCTGTTGGATCATTGAAAAAGCAAGAGAGTTCCAGAAAAACATCTATTTCTTCTTTATTGACTATGCCAAAGCCTTTGACTGTGTGGATCACAACAAACTGTGGAAAATTCTGAAAGAGATGGGAATACCAGACCACCTGACCTGCCTCTTGAGAAACCTGTATGCAGGTCAGGAAGCAACAGTTAGAACTGAACATGGAACAACAGACTGGTTCCAAATAGGAAAAGGAGTACGTCAAGGCTGTATATTGTCACCCTGTTTATTTAATTTATATGCAGAGTACATCATGTGAAATGCTGGGCTGGATGAAGCACGAGCTGGAATCAAGATTGCCAGGAGAAATATCAATAACCTCAGATATGCAGATGACACCACCCTTATGGCAGAAAGTGAAGAAGAACTAAAGAAACTCTTGATGAAAATGGAAAAGAGGAGAATGAGAAAGTTGGTTTAAAGCTCAACATTCAGAAAACTAAGATCATGGCATCCAGTCCCATCACTTCATGGCAAATAGATGGAGAAACAGTGGAAACAAGAGAGACTTTATTTTGGAGGGCTTCAAAATCACTGCAGATGATGACTGCAGCCATGAAATTAAAAGACACTCCTTGGCAGGAAAGTTATGACTAACCTAGATAGCATATTAAAAAGCAGAGACATTACTTTGCCAACAAAGGTCCATCTAGTCAAAGCTGTGGTTTTTCCAGTGGTCATGTACAGATGTGAGATTTGGACCATAAAGAAAGCTGAGTGCTGAAGAATTGATGCTTTTGAACTGTGGTGTTGGGGAAGACTCTTGAGAGTCCCTTGGACAGCAAGGAGATCTAACCAGTCCATCCTAAAGGAAATCAGTCCTGAATATTCATTGGAAGGACTGATGCTGAAGCTGAAACTCCAGTCTTTGTCCACCTGATGCAAAGAGCTGACTCATTGGAAAAGACCCTGATGCTGGGAAAGATTGAAGACAGGAGGAGAAGGGGACGAAGAAGGATGAGATGGTTGGATGGCATCACTGGCTCACTGGACATGAATTTGAGTAAACTCAGGGAGCTGGTGATGGATAGGGAGGCCTGATGTGCTGCAGTCCATGGGGTCGCAGAGAGTCGGACACGACTGAGCGACTGAACTCAATTGTAGAAACAATGAAATGAATTGGAAATCCAAGCCCTGAAAATGCTTTCTCACACACAAATTTGCTAACTGATCCTTGACTTCTGTTTTTTTCACCTGTGAAATGGGAATATAGCTCTGCTGTGACTTTCAAAGATACCATATGGGCTGGCAAACTAAACTAGTGTAAATCATGTTTGTAAATATAGAACTTTGATGTAAATAAGAAATAATATGCTTGGGCCTGGGCGTAGCCTGTGAGCAGAATTAACATGGATGCATAAAGCTGTTTTACTTAACCAGTTAATATGCATAACATTTCCTTTATGCTTGGGTTTTAATTTAAACTTGAGACTTTATAAGAGCACACCCCCGACAGCACAGACAAGGACGATGGTTTATAGAGAAAAATATGATTTTGAAACTCAAGCTCAGCGCCAGCGCTTTGAAGGAATACGTCAGGTTTCAGAGAATGCTGTCCGCTTTCCGAAGAGTGAAAATCCTTTGTTCCTGGTCCAGGGTATGAGACAAAAATAAAACACAGGTGATTATTTCTCTCAGACCTGAAAGATACTGCCAGGGACCTTGCTGATAGAAGGAAACTGATGGGAAAAGCTTCCTCTGCTCCTGTTTAAAAATATCGCTGGACTCAAGTGAAAGTCTAGAATGGTGATTATTCTTAGGGCAGCTTTGCTCCCACTCTTGGCAGAGCGCACCTTCAGAGTCACCTCTTCTGCCTAAGTCTCTCAACCCCAAGGCCTAATGGCATCCCTGCACTGTTGTGGTTACACAGACTGCTCTTCAGTAGCTGAGAACGCAAATCAAACTGTAGAACCTGAGTCGCCTGGTCGGGCGGGCTGGAAGGGGAGGAGCAGTCGCCAGCGCCCGCCGGGCCGGCCCTGGGGGGCTGAGGTCTGCTCTGGTGCGGGGGATCTTGCGTTCCTGTTCAGCTTCAGGTCGCAGCATGCTCCCTGACTCACAGATGGGGCAGCAATGAGCGCATAGGTATTATGATTAACGAAGGAAAACAGACAGTAAAACAGAAGACAGAGTGGGTGGGCGCGCTGCAGGGGACCGCAGAGTCAGAGACTCGGGTGGTCTGCAGTCGGACTGCACAGTCTAGGGCTTTTGTCTCCGGTGAGACTGTGGAGAGGGAAGGAGGCTGTGGGCAGGCCAGGCCAGGTGCGGCGTCTCGACGGCAACCACACAGGGCGGAAAAACTGCTGCCCGGCTGGGTGAGCACGCAGAGAGCTGTGGGGCTCCCCCGGGGGCTCAGAGGGTAGAGAATCCGCCTGCAGTGCGGGAGACCCGGGCTAGATCCCTGGGTCTAGAAGATGCCCTGCAGAAGGAAACGGCAACCCACCCCAGTGTTCTTGCCTGGAGAACCCTGTGGGCAGAGGAGCCTGGCAGGCTACAGTCGGACAGGACTGACAGCTGAGCAGACGCGGAGAGCTGCGCGCCCCAGCTGCGTTGCAGCGTTTCTATACCCAGGAGGACACAGGCGGGTGTTCGCTGAAGTACAGCGGGCCCCCACCCTATGGTGAAGGGCAGCAAGGCACACGGGGCCACGGTGGTCCGATTCAGTGAGAGTGAGAGGAGAATAGGTTCGGACCCCTGCTCTCGTGGTAGAGAGTGGTCTGAGTCCCAGCTTTACAGCTCAAGTGTGTAAGTGGTGGGCTTTTTAAAACTTTAAAAAATTGAGGCATAATGTACATTCAGTGTCTGATTCCAGTTGGGCTGCCATGATGAAAAGCACAGACTGGGCACCTTATGAAGAGCAGACATTTCTGGCTCACAGTTCTGGAGGTTGGGAATTCCCAGGTCAGGCGCCATCATGGTCATGTTCTGGCGAAGACCCTCTTCCTGGGTCGCAGCCGGCACTTTCTCCCCGTGTCCTTAAAGGGCAGCCTGACTGCGGCAGCTCTGGGGGTGCTTTCATGGGGGCTACAATCCCATTCACAAGGGCGCCTCCCTTAGGACCGGACCACCTCCCAAATGCCCCACCTCCTCAAACTGTTGCCTTTGGGGTTTAGGATTTCAAACAAGAACTTTAGGGGCACAAACAGAGCAAACAGTGAAGTCACATGCCGTAAAACCTGGCCAACGTTTGCATACGCATAGCCCTGTGTAAGCAAATACCATTTCTTTCACCCTGGGGTCCCTGGCCAATAAGGCCACTCAGAGGCGGCCACTTCCTGATTTCATAGCTTAACCTTAATTTCATAGATTAATTTTGCCTGTTCTTGAGCTTCATGTAAATGGAATCTTATCAATATAGAGTCACTGTTTCACCCAGTGATACTTACTTGAGATTCATCTTTGTTGGAGGCTTTGGCAGACAGCACTTTGAAAATCATGCTTTTCCCTTCCTTCTGTACTTATTTCACTTTTACTTTGTTGACTGTTAGTGAAAAGAGGGCAGATGTTGTAACATGTAAATTCTTTAAAGAAGAAGTTCTGTATAAAAATATCTCATACCCAGTGTGGTACAAGGGACACAGCGACCCCATGTCACGGCACAGCAACTCAGCAAACACTGCTGATGTCCCTACTTTTTACTGTGTGTGTTTCTCTGCTTCCCACTGCGGAATAAGCGTCTCCTCCAGCTCGCGAAGGTGGCCTTCTGTTCCCAAAGAGCCACAGAACCGCTATTGGCTAAATCATAGGGTGGTTAAGGCTGTGATTGAAATTTCGAAGGCAGTGTTCAATGTCACCTTTGATCTACAATCACACCCAGGTGCACTGGAGCTCCTCCATAATAGACGGCACGCAGCGGCTCATTTTGGGATTATGGGCTCACAGGGTCTCTCCGCAGCTGGCTGATGTTATTAAACTTTGCGGGACCCTCTGAGAAAGATGTTTGGCTCTGAATAGCAGTGTTCTTGGGGAGATTGTGACCTGGTGACCTCACACAATTGAATTTCTTTCATTTTATAGAGAATCTGAAGCGCCTCACCATTAAAATGACCAAGAATAACTGTGCGGTCTTTTCTTTTTTTTCTTTTCTGCTTTAGCACATTATTCCTGGGGCTCGAGGGCTGTGCCTTCTGAGCATAACTGTGACAGAGCCTATGGAAATGTAACGAGATGAGGGGTACACAGGGCGACGTTTGCAGATGCTGCAGACGGAGACACACTGGGTCCCTTAGGAAATCTCACTAAGGGCCCCCTGACACTTGGGACAGTAAAACAAACACACCTCCTTCAGCCTAGTCCGTCCCTGCAGACCAGCGGCCCCACAGAGCTGAGGGGCCCCCATTTGGGGCGAGCTGGCTGTGTAGTGACCACTCAAGCCTGTGGCTTGGGTACCTCTGGGAGGGGAGAAGGAGCTAGGGCTCAGGGCAGCCCCTCTCCTGAGTCACATTTCACAGCCTCATGAAAAAGTGCCCCAAACGAGAGAGAAACTCTCATCTGCGGCGGTGGTGGTTTAGTCGCTCAATCGTGTCCGAGTCTGTGCGACCCCGTGGACGGTCGCCTGCCAGGCTCCTCTGTCCATGGGATGCCCCCGGCAAGAATACTGGAGTGGGTTGCCATTTTCTTTTCGAGGCGATCTTCCTGACCCAGGGATCGAACTCGGGTCTCCTGCATTGCAGGCAGATTCTTTACCCACTGAACCACCAGGGAAGCCCTATCTGTGGTGGTGCCTGGCTATTAAAATGTGGGGATTTTCCTCAGGCTTTGATAAACCAACAGACAAAAACATTTAGAAAGAAGGAATGAGAGAAAGTTAATTGGCAAAGAATTGAAGGGAATCAGACAGCACAAGGACCAGCCCTCCAAATAAAGACCCCAATCAAGGGGGCTTCCCGGGAGGCTCCGCAGTAAACAGTCTGCCTGCAGTGAGGGGGCATGGGTTTGGTCCCTGGGTCAGCAAGATCCCCTGGAGAAGGGAATGGCAACCCCCTCCAGTATACTTGCCCGGAAAATCCCGCGGAGAGGAGGCTGGTGGGCTACAGTCCATGGGGTCACAGAGTTGGACATGATTTAGTGACTAAGCAACAACAAAAGGGAGAAAACCACAGGTTATAAGCTGCTCAAATTTATATTCTTTTGCTCATGGTGGAAAGCAGTACCTTTCTCACATGATCATCACATCCATATACATTGGTGTTGAGAAAGCCAGACATTAACCTATATTTCACTTGTGAAGTTCATGTTTGTAGGAATTGTCCAAGTTTTTATTATCCTGTGGATCAGACATAGATGGCGTGACCCTATCATTTTTGGTTTGTGTCAAGGTACAAATTCTCTTTTTTTTTTTCCTGTTTTCTGACTGTGGTGTATCATATCCTTAATCATAATGGAAGCAGGGCAAAATAGCTGTTTTGCTTCCCAAGTCCATCCTTTATTCAGCTTCCTCCCTCTAAGGTGCAGATTAGAGCACATAAGATGATCAGGGATTTTCTGACTCTGTATCATGACTTTTATTTTACTGGAAAAGTTGTATCTTCATAGGAGTAACCAGTGTTTAATACACAATGATCCTCTCGTTGCATTCAGAAGACTGAGAGCAACATGATAGTAAGGCTTAAGAGTTGCTTATATCTGGGGACCTTGTAAAGCTCCTGGGGGTATAAACTTTATGTCTCAAAAGTATTTCAATTTTATTGTCTGTTTGTCCACTGAGATTAAGACCCTAGAAGCCTCAAATTCACTTCTTGCTGGGCTTTGCCTGAATCACCTCTAGGTTTTGGATGTAAGAGTTAGTCAGGGTTCTCCAGAGAAACAGAACTAATAGGAGATTTATCGATATATAGATATATAGATGATGTATTGATGATAGATAAGGTGATTTATAGATGATAGGTCAGATGATTGATAGATGATAGATAAACACATAGGTGGGTAGATAGATAGATAAACAGACAGAGAGAAAGACAGATTTATTGTAAGGGATCAGCTTATGTCACTATGGAGGCAGGGAAGGCCCACAGTCTGCTGGCTGCAATCTGAAGACCCAGGAAAGCTGACGGTATCTGAGTCTGAAGGTCTGTGCATCAGGAGACTGGTGGTTTAAGTACAGGCTGAGGACAGGAGGAGACTGATGGTGAAAGTCCCAGGTTGAGGGCAGGAGGAGACTGGTATCCCAGCTCAAACAGGCAGAGAATCTTCCCTTTCTCTACCTTTCTGCTCCTTTCAGGCCTTCCATGGACTGGAAGGGGCCCACCCCCGCTGGGGAGAGATCTGTTTCACTAAAGTCTAATCTCATCTGGAAACACCCTCACCGACACACCCTGTAATGATGGTCACCAGCATCTGGGCAGCTGTGACCCGGACACACAGCAAAATGAGCTACCGCAGCGTGTCAGGGGCCCCCCCTCCCTGCCTTCCCCTTGCTGGTCGGTGTTTCTGGATGGAGGCTGGGGTTCCATAAGCCACAGGGCAGCTTGTGGACCAGGTTCACGGGAGGACACTGAAGGCCTTGTTCTGTATGGAGGATGCAATCCTTGGGTTTGTGCTCCCTAATTGGATGAGAATTCTATACTATGATTACTGTATAGAATTTTTTCCCCAGAAGAT